AATTAACTTAGCTACCTTCTCTGAAAAGAAAAGAAGTTTTTATTTGTAAATGGATTCTCACTTAGTTCAGAAGACTTTCTTCTTGGTTCTTCATCCTTCCTCAATCAAATCAAAGCTGTAAGTGTGAGTGTGTGATGAGCGTAGATGTTACTGTGGCTATTCATGGTAGTAACAGCGACATTCCCGTCAACACCCACAATTACCCCTAAGATCTTATCCACACTCAGTTTTTTCATAAAAACAGTGTGGAATCACCCTCGATTCTTAGCGAATGTGCACAATATCGAGCTGAGTTTTTTTCTACAAGTACTAGATAGTGTTCTGGGTGCTCATTTCTTTTGTTTTGAAAAATATTGAGCCATTGATCTGAAACAGACATTACAAAAGAGCTCTAGTAAAGGAAACATTTTTTGCAGAGTACTCTCAGAATTCTGATCTTTTTTTAAGATGGAAGGCGATGAAAAGGAAGCAAGAAAAGGAGCTACCCAAACGGTATCTGGCATCTGTATAAGAGTTTCAGTTCTATTGGGTGTATTTTGGCTGTGAAAGTGAGATGAACAGCGAGTCAGGGGCAGTTTTTTAGCCATTATAACTAAAAATCTCTTTGATTGGTGTGTCTAGGAACTAGAAGTCCATGACAATGTTTTCTATACTTATTGAAATTTATCTTCCCTGAAAGTTGAAAACTTTTGTGATGAGCCGTTCTTCACAAGTGCGGAACCGGAGCTGGCGGGGAAAGAGTGAAATAGCGTCCTTAAATAATCACTCGTTCGATATAATGCTTATTATTTATTATGCTGAGTAGTTTTCATTAAAATTTCTTATTCATATTGTATTGGTAGTGGTTCATATTGAAGTATTTGCTTGAGCGAATGTATCTTACCCACTGAACACTACTTTCTACCATGAACTCCTATCACAAATATTCGTGAACTTGAATAAATATAAATACAACCTGATGAGAGCTGACTTTAGTAAGATTACGAGTAAGATATTCTATTAGTAGTCACACATTATATCTAGAAAACTCAATGTAACATTCAATATTTCTCCAAGAAAGTCTAATGAGGCAGATACAACCATTGTCTTAAATATTGCAAATATGAGAACATCTTAATTCCTGAAACAATTAGGTAAACATAAGCTTAAGTATGCAATTGAGGTCTCGATAACAGTTATTTTTAGTAAAACATTTAGTCCTTATAGTATTACTTAATAAATGATGACTCGGTGCGAATTATTTTCCTCTCATTTATCCCATGGTTATTGTTTGTTTTTTACTTTAACGACTTCTAGTGATCTAGTCAAGATTTTGATAAATGATGAGAGCTTTAATGTTCGGGTTCTCTAATCGAGAAACGAAGGAAATATTGTACCTGAGTTGACATCGATCGATGGAGTAGTTTCTCAAAGCTTTGCTGGAATGGTTCAAGCTTTCATTACTAGTTGTTCATTATGCCCTATTAATTTATTCCTAGTAATGCTTGTGGAAATCAGTTTATGCTGAGACTTCTCACCATGTGTTACTGATAATTCCTTAAGGTAAATTATGTTAATTCACGCAGTAGATGCCGTTCAGGTTTGCTTTGCACTTCGACGCAAATAATTATAGTCTGGACAAACTCTACATAAGACACTCCCTTCTTGTAATTGCAGAATAAATGAGTTCATTTGACTACATGTCTCATTCTACTATCAATTGATAAATCTACGAATCACTGAAATTTTAAAAAAATTGTATGTAATGCTAGTTTTTCGTAGACTTTGCAACATGAAACCTAGGGGTAGTCAACTTGATTGAGTATTACTTCTTTATCAAAGTAAAGATATCGGCTATTGCCATAACTAATTGATTCTTAAAGAAACACCTTTTGTAACTGCGAAGGCTTTCATCTATGTCTAAAGACATTCCAAGACCATGCAAATTGAAATAGTGGTCAAAAGAAGTAGCTGAATGTTGGTATGAGCATTTTTTTATTTTCGAAAGTAACAATATCTGACGTTTTAGCAAAATATTCATAGGTTTTGTGTTTAACTTGCATTTATGCTTAAGACACTATCTTCTTCAATTAAGATGTGTTTTACGAAACTGCGCTTATATTTTTAATAAATCTTATGAGGTCGTTACTTCTAAAAATAATAATCGCTTGCTAAATTTTGTTTCACGACAAAAGACTTTTTTGATCAAGGTTTAGTAAAATTCAACTAAAATTAATGTAAACTCGTCTTTCTCGTTTTTTTGTGGCCATTTGCTTGATCGCCATCTTTTTCTTCGAATGCGTCAATTATTGTCATATTTGTAATTTTTCTATTAGACAACAAACACTATGCAGAACAAAAAGAGACATTTATGATTGATAGGCAAAGAAACCGATCTTGAACGCATACTTGCCACTGGATTTATTATAGTAATGACAATTACTGAATTTTACCAGAGAGTTAGTTAGTTAGACCCGCTACCGTTCCCGGTGTAGGGTGAGAAGAAAAAAATACACAAAATACACAAAAAAATAGCTATTAGCAAAGTTAGAGTTTTTGTCTTCTTTGACGGCCATATTGTTAGAACTCGACTGACAATGAGAACATGGAGATCAGGAGACCACCCTCCGGTAAACCAGCTTTAAATGGACTCCGTCATGGACCATACTCACAAAGTTCAGAAGGTGTCTTACAATCATTCGAAGATCATTTCCAATTCCTTGCAATCCATTCCATTTAGAATTTCTTTATTTAATTTTATTGTTCTTGCACCAAACTTGAGCATTAACACACGCCTTTACATGATTCGTAATTCCTTGAGGTTTAAATTGAATTCCGCAACCAGGACAGGCATAATGATTATTTGTATTTTTAACAAGAATTTCCGTTACTTTTCTTTTGACCACTCCGTGTGATGCAGCCAAGTCATCATTTCTTCGATTTACAGCTCTTTGTTTATATTCGTAAATGATTTCTTTAATATTTTGATGTACAGGTCTGCTGTGTACATTTTTGTTAATTAATTCTCTCCAGTGATCTCTGTTTAAAGAATCTTTTCTCCAATTTTTAATCTGACAGTATTCAATATCCTCTTTCACTTTATCCTCCCACCTTTTCCTAATGCCGATGTTACCAGGACGTTTCTCTTCTGGAAAATAAGAGAACGTGATCTTTTTCACTACAGATGGTTCATTATCATTGTTCATCATTCTGTTCGCATGACCAAACCACCTTAATCTGTTTCGACGTAGAATTCTTTCAATTGATGGCTGTCCAGTGATTTCTAAAATTTTATCATTTGAGATACGATCACCTATATTGACACCAATGATTATTCTAAGGCACTTCATATAAAATGTGTTAATTCTTTGTTCATGTGTTTTAGTGATTGACCAAGTTTCACTTCCATACAGCAGCACTGGTAGTACACATGCTCTATATATTTTCAATCTAGATTTAATTGAAATCGTCTTTCTGTACCAGATAACACTGCGTAGCATATTGAAAGCAGTGGATGCTTTCACTAATCTTGTGTTGATTTCCTCATCAGGTTTTTGATCTCTTGATACACCACAACCTAAATAAGTGAAGAATTCTACAGTTTCTACCTTCTGATTTCTAATATTAATATCAAAATCAGGTTGATCAACTTCATGATTGTGTATAATTTTATTATTTTGATCAATTTCCAGTTGTTTCAATGTCATAATACACGTTTTCTTCACATTCATTGATAACCCGTATTCTTGAGTAATTTTTTCAAAAGTTTCAATGAATGTCTTTAAATCATCAGATGTCTCACACATGACGACTAAATCGTCTGCGTACATTAAAGCCAAAATGTCGAAGTTCAAATACTTTTCTTTTGTGCCGTGAAAAAAATCATTTCTTCCATAAGAAAATTGTACACCTGTCACATCTGCTTCTTCGATAACCTTCCTGATGATAAAATCAAATAGAATATTGAATAAAATTGGAGAGGGAATGCCTCCTTGCATTACACCATTATAAATTTCGAAGCTATCCGAGAATTCACCATTCATTTTCACCTTTGCTTTTGAATTTGTATAAAGCATTTTTAGAAGATTGACTAGCTTTTCTGATATTCCATACTTCCTGCATACTTTCCATAATAGTTCACGATTAACAGAATCGTACGCTTTTGATATATCAATAAAACACATGAATAAGGGCTTGTTAAATTCTCTACGTTTTTCCATACATAATTTTAATATAGAGATTTGATCAATTGTAGATCTATTAGTTCTGAATCCAGACTGTGCTTCCAATAGGTGACGATCGACCAGGATTTGAATACGATTCAGAATAATACGAGAGAAGAGTTTACTAGTCACACTGAGAAGTGAAATACCTCTGTAATTGTCACAGAGTTGTTTGTCACCTTTTTTAAATAATTTAATCAAAACTGCTAAATTCCATTCCTCTACCATTTTCTCTTGTTTCCATACATCACTGAACATTTCATGTAGCCACTTGATAACTGGTTCACCGCCAGCTTTAAGAAGGTCAGCAGTAATTCCATCGTAACCCGGAGCTTTTCTTGACTTCATTTGATTCAAAGCTTTTCTTACCTCAGGTATTGTAGGTTGAGCATTTTGACGTTCTTCTTCTTTCTTTTCTATGCTTTGTATTTTAATTTGATCAATTAATTGAAGATCTACTGATGATGAAACATTAAGTAATTCATCAAAAAATTCTCTCCATCGTTCCAATTGATCAGTTGAGTTTAAAATCAGTTTTCCATGTTTATCTTTAATCGCCATATTCTCCACTCTCTTCATTTTACCACTAAGGCGTCTAATAATATTAAATGCATTTGCTGGATCATTTAATTTAATAGAAGACTCAATCTCTTCACATATTTCATCCCAATACTCTGTCTGACGTTTATCAATTTTGGTCTTTGCTAATTTTCTTAAACGTTTATATTTATTAGCATATTCAATTTCTAACTTTGTTCCTCGGTGATTTTGCCAATTAACAAAAGCTGTTGCTTTCTTTTCTACAATTTCTAGTATTTCATCAGTAAGCCATTCTTTACGCTTGCGAATTTTGTTTTTATCTATTTTAAAAGTTTTCTCTGCATTTGTTTTCATATGTTCAACAAATCGATCATATTTTTCATCAATACTAATTGTTTCATCTGTTGCATCGGAAAGTGTTGGAATGAGGTCTTTTTGAAATTGTTTTAATGCATTATCATTTTTCATTTTTATTGGATCATAAACTACTTTCTTCTGAACTAATTTCCTTCTACTTTTGAAGTGTAGTTTAATTTTTATTCGCATTAAATGATGATCTGTACCAATTGCACCAGCAGCTTTTCTATACATACGACAGTCTTCGACGCTCGATCTAAATTTCTTATTTACTAATGTGTAGTCAATCATATGCCATTGTTTATTTCCTGGATGCATCCATGACGTTTGATGTGCTAATTTGTGTTTAAAGAATGTGTTTGTAACTATAATACTATTAATTGTACATAGATCAATCAGCTTTTCTCCATTTTCATTTGTAATGTCAACTGTGTAAGGACCAATACTATTACATAAATTTTGCTGTTGTTGTTTTTTCCCTTCCACTCTTGCATTAAAATCACCCATGATAATATACATATCTCCAGTTGGAATTCGACTAATAACATCTTGTAAATCGTTATAAAATTGTTGACTAGCATCATTCATTTGGTTGTTAGTTGGATTCACAGGAGAGTATATAGAAATAATAGTCAAATTTACAAATAAACATTTCAGCCTAATTTTTACGATCCTCTCGCTCACTGCTTCCCACTCCGAACCAGAATCTTTCCATACCTTAGCAGCTGCTTTATCCAAACAGATAGCTACACCATGAGCATTTCGAGTTTTATTTACTGATGGTAATCCAGAGAAAATCCATGTAAAGTCATTTATTAATTTTACTCCAGAATCATACATACACGTTTCACTTAATGCAGCAATTTGAATACGATATTTTTGTAATTGTTTCATAACAAGTTCCTTCTTTGATTGTTTGACACAAGTTCTAACATTCCAGCCTCCGAAGAAGACACTGTGATGTGCGTTCGCGCACTTGTTTTTCTTCTTTTCTGTAGCAAGTTGGGTTTAAAGTCTGACTGACGAGTTGCTAGCACGACCGTCCGACAATTTGGCTACCGGCAGCCCAGGGTCGCCAACCCTGTGTGAGTTAAAAATTCACCCGGCAGGCTATACCAGAGAGAGGAATTTGTTCAGTAAATCGGTCCATCTCTCACGAATAGCTTTCACGATATAATCATGATACTACAGATATGAGAAAAAAAACACATCATTACTGTTTCAGCGCTATCAACAAAGAAGAATGTATCAGTATATATCTTTTTAGAACACTATTCTTTGATGTCTTTGTAGCGTATAGTATTCTCGTGAATCATCACCTACGGAAGGAGATGCTTTCACTCCTTCGTTACCCCACCATAAGTAATTAAGATTGATAGAAACTGTTCAACTCACTTACATAAATCAGTTTTTATGGAGCTCATAGCAGTCGTATTCAGAGATGGAACCGATACCGATAACCGGCCGGCCGGTCCGGTCCGGTACTGGTCTGGACTTTCGATCGACCAGTCTATCGGTTTAAACCGGTCTGATCGGTCTATATGTTTCACTTTCCCGCTCTATGATGATAATCATATGAAAAAACAACTGGCATCAAGACTAGTTCCACTAATCACATAGGAATTTATTTAAAAATAAATTTTCAAAATACCCATCAGTGAGACTATTGTTATCAACAGAAAAACATTATGTTAATATGCGTGAAAGTACGAAGGTAGCCCTCAAAAGAGTTCACTATGAAACAAGGCTTCATTTCAAGCCTTAGCATGTTGTCTATGGATCGATATTTTGTCGGTAGGTCGGTCAGATCAACTTTTTTTGGTAAATCTGTTTCGGTCGACGAACCGATCTAGACCGGCTTTACTGGTAGACCGGTTTTGTCGGTCTAGATAGGTTTTGCCAGTCTAGAGAGGTTTTGCCGGTCTAGACCGGCCGGTCCGGTCCGGTCTTATTGTTTTGGACCGGTACCGCCCATGTAGCCGATAATGGATAAATAATGGAAAATTATCCATTATTTTCCATTATTTTATGAAATAATGCATTTCAATTAATTATTTTCACGTTTTCTGAGAACTTTTTACAAATAATGTTGAACGTTGTGATAATGCATTGACTCAATGCATTTCAATGCATTATTTTAAATAATGTTCCAATTCGGAATAATTCATCGACTGACAATGCATTTCACTGCATTAATTTAAATAATGCTGAAATTTCTGATAATGCATTGGCAGTCAATGTATTTCAATGCATTATTTTAAACAATGTTGAAAATTCTGATAACACGTTAAAACTTCAATGCATTTCAATGCATGATTTTAAATAATGTTGAAAATTCTGATAATACATTAAAGCTTCAACGCATTTCAATGCATTATGTTAAATAATGTTCACATTCAATATAATGCATTGACCAACAATGCATGTCAATGAATTATCTTAAATAATGTTGAAACTTCCCATGTAGCCGATAATGGATAAATAGTGCAAAACTGACACATTATTTTCCATTATTTCGTAAAATGCATCAAATAATTAATGACAATGCATTATTTTTCATAGTTTCAATGCATTTTTTAGGAATAATGTTCTAATACTCGAAAATGGATTGAAAATCAATGCATTTTCAGAAATAATGCCTCAATATTTGATAATTCAGTAAAATTTCAATGCATTGTCACGCATTATCGAAAATAGTGTACAAATGACCGATAATGCATTATTATACATCATTAGAAACAATGCTTAAGTGTTTGGTAATGCCGTCAAACCTCTTTGTGGTTTCAGAGAACATGTCTAGATGTTACATAATTCAGTAAGACTTTAATGGATTCTGATTCATAACTTGGAATGTTGATCTATAAACTTCAAAACTGCATTATTCACGCAAAGGAGATTACAATAAGATAGTTCGCAAATTCAAAAATAAGATGTCACAAAGCGTAACACAGGCTGTCGACCTTTAACCAATTGGTGTTCAAAGACAAGTTTAATTCTGTCGTGTATGTATAACACGTTTGTTGTTGCAGGGGTGAGGCATATAAATATATATGAGCACGGAAATAAAAGGAACTATTCAGAAGCTGGTAGAGAATCAAAAACTCGCTGGAAAGTACTAGAGAGAACATTCATGATCTATGCAGAAAGACTAAGAAAATGGATGTAGATGACCATTCTAGAAAGGGAACATATGCATTCACGCATGACAACAGAATGCAAGAGCATGAAGATGGAAAGTACATACGATGACGTCACAACAATGATACAGAAAAAGATGGCATATACAGGCCATGACACTACTTAACCGCTTTCTATGTATCACACCTTTTAAACGAACATTCTTCCAAGTGCAGTCATCAACGTATAGATCTAATGGTTTAGTAATAAAGGATACGTGTAAGTTTCAAGTGACGGAGAAAAAGTGAAAGTCTCGTGCTTCATCACACTTCGGGAGTGCGCCGAAGTTATCCTCGCAAACTTTTTAATGACTTAAAGTTTACCACGACAAAACTTGCTTCAATTAGTTTGAATTAATTCTATGTTCATCTATCACATAATAATGCTCAGATACTTCATTGTACTTCGCCAACATTCTACTTTGAATCGCAATGAACTTCTCGAGCTTTACCGAGAGGCAGACTTATCAAGAATAAATCCAAGCTAATATGTTCGTGGTGCACACGAATCAAAGACTACAAATAGCTAGGACATTCTCCAGGATAACTTTGACCCATGCCTTAAATACAATCCAATAGCAAAACTTTTGTTTTTTCGTTCTTCACATAAAGTCATAGCATGTGGTCAAAAGGAAATCAATATCAAGCTACAATCAAAGAGGTAGAATCATAAGAATGTAGCTGCACAGGACTAGGGGTATATGATTAATGGTGTGGGGGTAAGGATCTAGGGTTAAGAGTATGGGATTAAGGGTATAGACATAAGGATATAAGGTTAAGGATATAGGCGTGAGAGTGTAGGCATAAGGGTATAGGGTTAAGAGCATAGGGTGAAGCGTATAGGCGTAAGGATATAGAATTAT